CTAAGTGGCATTCCCAATACTCTGTCTGAGTCCCTGAGTCTCTGGCCTTTATCTTACTCTTGTTATCCTTCTTCCAGACTCATGGCTTCTTTCTTTCTTTCTGTCTGTCTCTATATCGCTTATTACCAATCTCTGTTATTAATCTGTTTGTCCCTACTTCTCTGTGTATATGCCATCATAGCCCCTCTTAATCTCTCTTCCTCTTTCTGCATGAGGAGTGAATCTAGAACCCCAGACTTGCTTGGAAAGTGCCCTAACACTAAGGCACATCCAGGATCCCTCACCTGTGACTGGTAGGGGCCAGACAAATGCTCTACCACTCTGATACATCAGCAAACCTTTTTGAAAGTTTTAATTTGGAGATGAAATTTTGCTAAGTTCCCCAGGGAAGGATTGATGCTTAATCTCAGCCTCCCAAGGGCTGAGATGAGAAGCACATACCCATCCTTGGACCTCTCTATTTAAACAAGACTTCACATCTCTTTATGAGAGATATAGAAGAGAGAGAGAAGGAGAGAGGAAGAGAGAGAAGGAGGGAGAACTTCTTTCAACATTTAGCCAATGTCTGTCTAGATCCAGGAGGTGACTTTTAGAGGAGAGTTATACTCCCATGGCCAAGGAGGAAGGGAAGAAAAATGTGCAGATTTCAGACACAGAAGCTGTACTTTCCTGATCTTGGCATGGTGCCACCCTAGACTCATCTGACACTGGACATTGTTCTTGCCAAGCTTGGTTGTCTGGCACTGAACTTGGGTCATTTTTCCAGTCCAGGATTCCTGGTGGAAGCCGTGAAGTGCATTTCATGCAGAAACTGACAATTAACACTTTGGAGAGGTATGTTGCCTTCCCATATTAATATACAGAAGAGGTATAAAGAGGTTGTTAGATTACCTAAGGTCACTCAATGTGTTAGAACTACTTTGTGCAATAGAAAAGCTGCTTTCAAAACATGAAATGTGCCGGAGGTGATAGCACACATCCGTATTTCCAGCCTAGGAGGCTGTGAGAGCAGCTTTATGAATTCAAAATGAGCCTGGGATACAGAGGGAGAACTTGTCTAAGACAAACAGATAAATAAACAAATTAAAAATGTGGGCTGGATAATCAAATTCAAACTCAGAGGTTTTGTGATATACTTGAAACAGCAGATATTTGGATTATCTTCTTTATAAATCAAAGATTTCTGAAGGAAAATTATGATACAAATTAAGTTGTTACCACATCAAAAATATACACCAGATTTTGCATAGAGTACGAACATCATTACCATCACCACCACCAACAAAATCATACCCAGATTGGTTGGCATAAGCCTGTAATCTTTGTTACTCAAGAGAAAAGATCACAAATTCACAGTGTGAGTGGCAGAGCAAAATCCACTTTTATTACAGGTGGAGACAGGAGAATCAGGAGTTCAAGGCTGGCCTGGGATACATAGTTATATTATATTTCCTTAAAACAATTGAAGCCAAAGCAAAAAAAAAATGGGTTCTGAGGATTTGTCAGATTTGTCAGAATGATGGGTTGCCTCATGTACAGGAAGTCCTGAGTTCAATTCCCAGCAGTGTATACTATAAACGTTGTGGTTCATGACTATGGTCTCAAAACCAATAGAGGGGCCAGGAGGATCAGGTGTATAAAATCATCCTTGGCCACACTGATACAAGGCTGATAGGGTTTCACAAGACCTTCACACCAAGATAGAAAGAAAGAAGGAAGTGTATTGGCATTTTAGGTTGCTTTTGACCTGCTCGTCTATCAGGATAACAATACACACTGGGTGATCCTTGACCACTGGGCCACAATGATACTGACCTATGTGATGATGTTGATGGTTTTGGGTCTTTGATAACTGAAATTTCTTGTATTGAAATACTTACGGAAGGTCTGTAACTGGAATCTGATCCTTATGTAGTTAAGAATGACCTTCAGGGTCCTGAGATTGTGTGTGTTCATTATCACACTCAATTGATGAAGGTGAAATCCAAGTTGACATCTATGCACAGAATGTATTCTATCAACCGGGCCCATCTCCAGCAGGTTTTGCCCTTGAATGTGTGTGCAGCTCTGTAGATGTCAGTGTTGTCAGAATGGCTGGCTCTATTTCAGTTTCTCCCCCTCTTTCTCTTCCTGCATATGACTAATCACGTCTTTCCAGTTCTTCATCTGTCATCATCTCCTTTGTCAAAATGTCAAGATAAGACACAATCTCCTGCCATAGAAGATGAAGGTTCTCTTCCAAAACACAGACATGGATGCAGGTTGACCCCGGTGTGTAGATGTTAGCTCTCCACATTTATGCTAGTTTGTAGTTTACAACTGAATGATAAGTAACAAAGATGGTAAAATAAGTGTTGGAACATGGGATAAGCTTTAATTTACTTTAAAATTTGTGGTATTGGGATAGAATGAATGCACTTTGAGAGAGCAAGATGGGTTATTTTTAAGGGTGGAGGAGAGTGTTAATTGTTGAACATTCCCAGTAAAGTTGAAGTTGAAATTTAAATGCCATTATCACTGCATTAAGAAATGAGATGTGGATGGATCCCAATTCCTCCGCCCAGATGTCCCCCCAAAACAGTTCGGGCTAAACAACTGTCTCCATTATCCAGAGGGCCTTGGTGCATCATGGAGGAGCTTGAACCTGCCTGTGCTCAGTGTGCTGGGCTCTGCTGATTCCCCATAGGAGACCTTGATTTGGAAGATGTAGGGATGGGGGGTAGCTTGGGAGGGAGAGCCGGGGTGTGGGAGGAGGAAGGAGGTGGGGTCTGTGGGTGATATGTAGGGTAAGTAGAAAATTTCTTAATAAAAAGATTGGGAAAAAAAAGGAATGAGATGTGAACTGGGAGGTGGTTCATCAGTGAAGAGCACTTGCTGTTCTTGTAGAGGACCTGGGTTCAGTTCCCAGCACCTCCATGGTGGCTCACAGTCATCTACATCTCTAATTTGAGAGCATATACTGTTCTCTTCCACCTTTTGAGCACCAGACATGCATGTAGTGAACATATGTATGTTCAGATGAAATACTCATACACATAAAATGAAAATTAAAAAAGAATAAAATGACAGCGTGAAACTCTACAGCTTCCTAATGTCTATTCTAAGTGAATAGATGTTCACTGAGATGTATAGACTGTGGGTCTTGTCAATTTCTTTGTGTTATGTCTTATAATACAGTTAATTAAATAAAGCAGCAAAAGATGAAATGATATGTTTAAAATGTGGTTCAGGCTTTGCCTTTATGTTGTTTGGTTGTGGAATGTTCCTTACCAGCTTACTTATTTGATCGGTTGATCTTTAGTTGATAGTCATATTTTGGGAGTTGTAGAGAATTTAAAGGGTTGTGAGTGGTGGTAGCAAGTTATTTAGATTGGGTGACATTCATAGCCTCTCTCTCTCTCTCTCTCTCTCTCTCTCTCTCTCTCTCTCTCTCTCTCTCCCTCTCTCTCTCTCTCCCTCTCTCTTTCTCTCTCTTCCCCCGCCCCATGACTTGCATTTCTTTTTTGATACTGATCTATGATCCTTCCCATGTCAAAGCTGGGGCCCAAACTACCTAGAATTCAAACAAGGAACTAAATGGCGAGAGCAATCACATAACAATCCCACTGCTGCACCAGTCCTTTGTCACTGTGGTAAATACCTGCTCAGAAGCCAGTGTGAGGAAGGATTTACTTAGGGTCAGTTTCAAGGCAGGAAGGCAGGGCAGCTGGGCCTCTAGGTTTGCTGTGGGAGTATGAGGCAGCTGGGAAGGAGAGAGAGGAGGGTCCTCTCAGGAACCTACATCTTTCTGCCATGTCTGTGAACGTCCTAAAAATACGACTAGTTAGAGATCAAGCATTCAAACATGTGGAGTCCTGGGAGAAATCTCACACTCTAACCATGGCACTCTGTGAATGGATTGTGTCACTGTCATAGAGTGTGTCCTCTGTGGGAGTGTTCGGTCTCCTTTTTAGCTCTGTCAGTCTTAGGCATGCTTGATTGCCCCATGTCATGTTATAATGCAGCAGCAAATGCCTCACCAGACACCAGTGCAGTGTTCTTGGAAATAACTGCTTCTAGAAGCACAACTTTAAAATGCCTACTAATTATAACTTCCCAGTCTCTGTCATTCTGCCTTGTTAGAAGACAGAGTAAGACATTCTCAGCATACCGAGGTCAGAGTCTACAGGGGACAGTGACGCTACTAGAAAGAGATGGGTCAGTGGGAAGGTCAGAGGGCTCTACTTTCCGTGAGACAGCCAGGAGGAGGAGGTGATCACCAGTCACACTGATCAGAAACTCAGGGGCTCCAACTGCTCCTCGGCCAGGCTGAAGCCTCTCTCTCCACGTGACTGCTGAGCCTGACCACTACTGTGTCTCTTGTCTCCCTACTTTTGCATATTCTGCCATCTGTGACTGTCACAGGCCAGAGATTGAAAGGGGACCCTGGAGAAATCACATTGGCACTGGGGTTGGTGTATGTACAAACACACAGAGATTCACACAGTAACACGCACCTCTACTCCTGTCACTGAAGTCAAACCTGAAAGTAAGAACATATAGAGGAGCCCCACAGTGCAAGAATGTAATGTGAGCCGCATGTGTTGGCTCACACCTTTAATCTCAGTATTCAGGAGGCAGAGGCAGGCAGATCTCTGTGAGTTCAAGGCCAGCCTGGTCTACAGAGTGACTTCCAGGACAGCCAGGGCTACCCAGAGAAACCCTGTCTTGAAAAATCAACCAATACACATATTCACAGACACACACAGACACACAGACACACACACAAGCACACACACACACACCACCACCACCACCACCACAATCTCCACCACTGCAACAGACACAACACACACACACACACACACACACACACACACACACACACCTATATCTAGAGTAACACACAAAAGCACACGCATGTACATTCACATAAATATCCCTTCACATATGCAGCACACACACAGGTCCATGCCCAAATCAATAAACAGACAAAACTGAGCTGAGAAATGCACACTCACCCCAAGAAATCAAGATGCGTTACTCCCAATGTTCTTTTGTCCTGTGAATCTGTTTCAAGTCCTTGACAACATCTATGGAACAGGGAGTGAGCATGTCACTGGCAGCCCAAGCAGGAAGTATGGGTGCTCCCATTCTTGGACAAAGATTGACAGGAGGCAGGATTAGCTGAAGTTGTGCAACTGGGTAGAGAGGCAGGTTCAGCATAAAAAGTCCTGCTGGAGTGTGCAGTGGAGTGGATGGTGGTCAGACCAGGACCATGGAGGCCAGTGTCCTGCTCTTCCTCACTATCCTTGTGGGCTTCTTACTGCTCCTGGTCAAGGGACACCCAAAAGCCCATGGCCGCCTACCACCAGGACCACGTCCACTGCCCCTCTTGGGAAACCTTCTACAGTTGGACAGAAGAGGCCTCCTCAACTCCTTCATGCTGGTGAGACATACACAGTGTCTGTGCCCTATGGGTCTAGCCCTGTGTTTGCTCCTGGAGATCACTCAGCAGGACCAACAAGGGAGTCCTTTCAAGCTGTAGGTTCAGGAAGGAAGTTGCTGAGTGAAAAGTGAGGTCTGGTGCTTCTTTTCCAGAAGAGAGAAAGATGTCAGAGCAATCAATAGATAAATTTGCCTTCTGCCAGCACAAGGGATAATCCTGCCAGGTTCTGGAGCCGAGGGGAGGAGAGGCAGGTCAGGAGGTGTGGTAGGGAGGGAGTGCTTATCAGTTATAAAACCAAGGACCATCCTTGCAGCTGACCCTTATGTTATCTTTACCAGTCTTCACAAGGAAGATTTTTGTGTCACTTACCACTTTTCTGTTAATAACCAGTTAACATACTTTGCTGTAGGATGTTCTGTATGTCCCTAGGGAGCCCGTTCTTGAGTTCCTCGTGGCTTTACCCAGCAGGTCCGCATAGAGGATGATTAGGACCACAGGCCTGAGTGCAGGTGTCTGATATGATCTGCACTTGGCTGTGCTGGGGGATGGTCTGTATGTCAAGTTGCTCTGATTGGCCAATAAATAAAACCTGATTGGCCGTGGCTAGGAAGGAAGTTTAGGCAGGACTAACAGAGAGGAGAAATAAAAGAACAGGAAGGCAGGAGTCAGCCTGCAGCAGCCGCCAGGACGATGAAGATGGAAAGTACCGGTAAGCCACGAGCCACGTGGCAAGGTATAGATTTATAGAAATGGACTAATTTAAGATATAAGATCAGTTAGCAAGAAGCCTGCCATGGCCATACAGTTTGAAAGCAATATAAGTCTCTGTATTTACTTGGTTGGGTCTGAGCGGCTGTGGGACTGGCAGGTGACAAAGATTTGTCCTGAGTGTGGGCCAGGCAGGAAAACTCTAGCTACAATACTTGGTCCCACTTCCCATTTAGAGAGCTGATTTAATGGCAACAATTGCAACTTCCTGCTACCCCTTGATTGTTAACAGATCACCCATCTGTACCATTGGTGTAGTCATTTGTTTTTATCTAGCTTCTGAGGCAAGGTCATCCTACTTTTCCCGGGTTAATCTCAAATTCATGATCCTCCTTCAAGTTTTATACAACATCTTTAATCTGATCTGTGTATCGATAGTTCACTGTTGCTTAAGTTTCGAAGTTGTGACCTGGCCCGAAAACATAAGTATGTCAATATCAAATTTGTGTAGAGGTTTTCCTTAGCATTGTCCCCTAAACTACACTGGACACTGACTGTTTTTATAGCCTTTCATTTCTATTAGCTGCATTGCAGTCTAGAGTGAGATAAAGTTTGTGAGAGGATGAGGTGGGTTATGTGCAAACACTGCACCATTCTCTTCAAGGGCTTTCAGCACTTGAGGGTTGTGACATTCCTGGGATCAATTCCCTGTAGATGCCCAGATGGTTGCATTGTCAGGTATTTTCCAACTGTGTGTGCTGTAGTCATGACTCACATTCAGGTCCACCGCCAGGTGACTATCACTTTCCCTTCCCATGTTACCCAGTGGGTGAGTCAGAGCCATCCTCTGGATGTTGTCAGAATGCATTGGGCAGGTTGACTCTGGGTCACAGAAAGCATGGTTCAGCTGGCCAGACTGGAGGGTGTGGGCATGGAGTTACATGCATAGCTACCTCCATAACTGTATATATTTTTTTAGAGACAGAATTTTATGTAACTGAGGCTGGCTTCCAAATGGATGTGTAGCAAAGAATGAATAGTGATTCTCTGGCTTCTACCTCCATGTTTCTTGATTATAAACATGTGTTGCCCTTCATTCCCACTCTACAGTACTGCTGTACTGATCAGGAAGCCCAATCAATCAGTGCAGACCCTGACTATGTGTAGAACTAAGCCTTCTATCTTAGGCTCACAGAAGGGGAAGGGTGGCCATATGAGAAGTTTCTATTTTCCATTCTGTATGTGTTTTCAAAGTGTAACAACATCATCTTCACTGACTAACCACAGCCCTCATGCCCTTATACTTGGCAGTTTCGAGAAAAATATGGAGATGTGTTCACAGTGCACCTGGGACCGAGGCCTGTAGTCATGCTGTGTGGGACAGAGGCCATAAGGGAGGCTCTGGTGGACCAAGCTGAGGCTTTCTCTGGCCGGGGCACAGTTGCTGTGGTTGAGCCATTTCTACAGGGATATGGTGAGATATGGGACAGTGTGGCATGGAGGATGTGGTCCAGGAAGGTGGAATCTGAGCTGTGTGAAAGGACTCAGGTTCTCCGACCTTCCAGTGTAACCTACCCATACATCCCCTACTTTCTTAGGTATGGCCTTTTCCAATGGGGAACGCTGGAAGGTCCTTAGGCGATTCTCTGTGGCCACCATGAAGGACTTTGGGATGGGGAAGTGGAATGTGGAGGAGCGGATAAAGGAGGAGGCCCAATGTCTCGTGGAGGAGCTGCAGAAATTCCAGGGTGAGTCTCTGAGAATGGGCATAAAGGAAGATGGTGATACAGGGACCTGAGTGCACAGTCATGGAAAGAGAAACAGACAGTTGAGGGTAGATAACAAGGCAAACAGACTAACACACACACACACACACACACACAGAGTATGGGGAGGATAAGATATGGACAGAGGTGGAAAGAGAGAGAAATACAAGGGCAGGGAAGAAATGTGTTCAAAGTAACTCAGAAACACGTACTGACCATATTTGTCATATTTTTAGAAAATCAGTCTGTGAATTAATTTTGTTTGTCAGTTGTGTATGACTGGTTCACACTTGTCCTCTCAGAATTCAGAAAGTGAGGCAAGATGCTCAGGAGTTCAAGGCTGGTCCCATCTATATTTCGAGGCTCTCTTTTTGGTAGGACTGTGGCTGAGTGAAGGTTGCTTCCAGCACCACATACATGGGGTACGGTCCTACACGTTTATAATCCCAGCACTCTAGGGATGGAGGCAGGAGGCTGAGATTTCCAAGGCCATCTTCTGCTACATATGGAGTTCAAGGCCACTTTGACTTAGCCTTGTCATGGTCACCCAACATGTTCTTATCAAAGACAAACACAGACCCTAGGTAACTGAGAGGGAAGGGGGCAGGAGGAACTGCAGACATGTTCTAAGCAGGGAACTGTGTTTTCTTCCTTGTACTTGTGCTGGTGAGCAGCAGTGAGCACAGAGGCTGATGGGAGTTTGACTCTGGGTGAACTCAGAGGCACTTCTGGGGACTTGAGGGGTCTTTACATTAAGGGTGTATTGGTGACATGACTGTTGTTTGCACTTCCATTTCTGTACACGGGACATTTGCCGTCTCTATTCACCTTTCTCAGGAGATCTGAGAGGTCAGTGCAGAGGCTGGAGGGAAGAAAGGTGCAGAGGCTGGGAAGAATGACTGGAGAAAGCAGTCAGAGATGGAGGGACCCAGAGGAAGAGAAGTGAGCGCTCAGGCTGAGAGTGAAGGTGATGAGCCCCAGGGAAGGATCTACATAGCTGTCTGGAGGACCAGGCTCCAGGCAGCTTCAGACTCAAATGGAAATCCACAGTGTCAGCACACTGGACTTTTTTTTATCTGGGGGGGTTAGCAAAAAAGACTCTCACACCAATTTTTTGGAGACAGGGTTTCTCTATGTAGCTTTGGAGCCTGTCCTGGATCTCACTCTGTAGCCCAGGCTGGCCTTGAACTCAGAGATCCACCTGCCTCTGCCTCACCAGTGCTGGGACTAAAGGGGTGCGCCCCCACTGCCTGGTCTCATACACATTCTTGATGGTTTCCTTTCCTCCCCCTTCTGCTCCTCCTCCTCCTTCTCTTCTTCTTCCTCCTCCTCCTTCTCTTCTTCCTCCTCCTCCTTCCTCTCCTCTTCCTCTTCCTTCTCCTCTTCCTCTTCCACCTGCTCCTCCTCCTCCTCTTCTTAATCTTTTCCTCCTCTTCCACCTCCTCCTCCCCTTCCTTATCCTTCTCCTCCTCTTCATCTTCTCCTCCTCCTTCTCCTCCTCCTCATGCTCCTCCTTCTCTACCTTCTCCTCCTCCTGCTCCTTTTCCTCCTCCTGCTCCTCGTTCTTCTACTTCTTTTTGCCTCTACAGCTTATATTCCCCAACAAAGTCTTTTAAGCCATAGAAGCTTCACAATCTGGTTACATTCAAATTTTTAAGTGAATAATTATAATGAATATAGGTTAAAAACATGTTTTCAACTCCCTTACATGATTAAAAACAGAGTTAACATAATAACCCACATACATTGTAACATCTAAGCAACTTGTTACAGATTAATAGAATATGAGAAAACAAGGACCATTTGTTCTCATCCAACTCTTTTGTTGACAGGCTGCATATTGCTGTTACAAAGAAATTATCAACCACTTTATTATCTATTCTGAAAGGTAATCTTATAAGGAATTTAAAAAAGTTGCAAACAGAAACTTTCATACATAAAAACCAGTCAATCAGGTGAACTTTGAATCCTCAGGGTACATACTCATTTATCAATAGTTTCTATAACATAAAATTGAGGTCAGGAGTGGGTGAAAGGAATTAATCATCACCTTTGATCACCAACCAGACCTAGCATGGAAAGTACTTCAGCAAACAACAGTCAGGCTGCTCTGTATTTTTGACCCTATCCTAATGAATCTATAACTCAGCTGTGTGTCCTTGTGAACTTCAGATTGTTTTCTGCGGTTCTTTGTCTTAAAGCTATTC